TTCGTCTCTGCGGGGAGGGGCCAGGCAGCCTCCAGCACCTGTCCCAGCTGCCCCCCGCCCCCAGCCTCGCTGCCCCTCGCTATATTTACCCAGGGGGAACTTGCCAAGAATGGAAGTGGTAAGATAAAACCCCGGAGGGGGGCTAAAATTAGCCCCACCGCCCTGGCCCTTCTCCTGGCATTTCAGCTGTGAGCTCGACAGCCTGCGGCATCCCGGTCGCGCGGAGCGGACGTCCAGCCCCGACGCGGCAAGATCCTCTCTTTTTCTCTCCTTTTTTGTTGGGTTTGTTTGTTTAAACTGAGGGAGAACTCGCCATGGGACCGCCACTGCCTGGCTGCGAGCATCGCCCTCCTCCCAAAGGTAAGGCAGCAGCGTAAAGGCGCCTGAGCAGCATCGGGTGGTCGGAGGTAACTGGTGGCACAAGCACCAGCATCTTCTCTGTCACCTTTAGCTTCAGTCAGAACCTCGTTTTCTGGGGGTGCAACAACAGCTTCCTGCAGCTCAAGAGGTGACAACTCTGGTTTGGGCTCTTCTGGTTGAGGAACGCCTGTGAGCTCCCCACGGGGGCGCTTGCCCTGTCAAGCTGACGTCCCTTTCTGTGTTCAGGAAGTGTCACAACTAGGTTTTGGGTTTTTTTTTTCACTTTTCCAGACCATCTCCCTTGGAAATACAACTGAGCCATCTTTTTGAGTCGAATCTGTAGCAAACGCCCCACCTCATTAGCCAGGGGGAGGGGGTGTTGGTGTTTCCAAACCTCCGGAGCTCGTTATCAGCATGTCTAACGAATAGCAGTAATGTTATAATTGCACCTATTTCTGTATAAATCAGGTTAGTGCCACAGGTGGAAGCGCAGCAGAGCGTTGCTGTCGCTCGCTGCCGTCGAACTCGCCCTACTTAACGGAGCTGCGAAGGCGGCCGTGGCCCGGGGACTCCCCCGAGCTCGCCCGCCCCGCCACCGCGGGGGGGACGTGGGACCAGCCCCCCGTGACGGCCTCCTCGCTGCCGGGCTCGTTTGCAGAAAGAGGCGAACGGCTCCTCGGTGCAGCTCCTTGCTGGGATCAGAGGAGCCGGAGCTCTGCCCCTGCCGCCTCTCCCCCAGGAGCTCCCGAGATGCGACGGGGCGAGAAATTCCTCTGCCCTTCCTGGCGTTTCCCAGCCGGGGCGTCGCGTTCCTCGGCCACCGCGGGGCCAGATCCCGCACCCTGTC